TGCAGATCACTCGGAACAGAGCACGCCGCACCATTACCCTGACTCAGTCACACATGGTGCAGTAGGTCCTTCAGCGCTTCGGCTTCACGTACTCCTCGCCTCAGGCCACTCCTCTGCCTACTCGCCACTCGCTCTCAGCTCTGCCTTCGGATGAGTCCGTAGAGTCGAGTGGCCCGTACCCAGAGCTTGTTGGCTGCCTCATGTACCTGATGACCTGCACACGACCTGACCTTGCATACCCTCTTAGCATTCTCGCACGCTATGTTGCTCCTGGGAGACACAGACCGGAGCACATGGCTGCAGCGAAGAGGGTGTTGCGCTACTTGTGCAGTACGTCGGGCATGGGGCTTGTGCTTGGAGGGCAGAGTCCAGTGGTCCTCACTGGGCACGCAGACGCTTCTTGGGCTGACGACCAGGCTACGCAGCGGTCGTCACAGGGTTACACCTTCAGCCTTGGTTCCGGCTCTGTTTCGTGGCGGGCTACCCGCTCGTCCTCTGTTCTCGGCTCCAGTTGTGAGGCTGAGATCTACGCAGGAGCCATGGCTGCACAGGAGCTTCGCTGGCTCACCTACCTGCTGACTGACCTCGGAGAGCCGCCTCGTTCTCCTCCAGTGCTGTACGTAGACAACAAGGCCATGCTGGCCTTGTGTCGGGAGCAGAGACTGGAGCACAGAACGAAGCACATTGCTCTTCGCTACTTCCTTGCTCGTGAGCTGCAGCAGCGTGGTCAGCTGCGCCTTGCGTACGTGGCCTCTGAGGCCAACACTGCTGATATCTTCACCAAGGCACTTGCGCCTTGTGATCATCAGCGCTTCTGTACTCAGCTTGGTCTTGTGCCTGCCTTGCCTCACTTGCTCACCCCTTGACCTTGTTTGTACTGTTACATATATATATACACCTGCTCTTGCTTGTCTAGCCTTATATATATATGTAATCCTGCATGTAAACTGGCCTTCTGGCCTTGAACTTGTGCTCGGAATGTGTGGTGACTTTGTGATCCACCCTGAGCTTGCCTTGCTTTACTTGACTGGTCTTGTGACCCCTTGTTCTCCCCCACTTTGCTCATGGGGGTGTGTCAGATTTATATGACATAGCTGCTGTAGGCTATAGTGGGGTAGCACATATGGGGTACAGTTTTCTAGGGTTTGTACTTGTACCCAACTTTCCCTTAGTCAATCTCATTCCTCGTCATTTCACAGGGGATGCCAGCTGGGCCGTCCGGCAACGACGCTGTTCTCGTCGTCGTCGATCGCTTCACGAAAATGGCGCACTTCGCACCATGCCGAACGACAATCACAGCCGAAGAAACTGCGCGCCTCTTCATCTCAACGGTCGTGCGACTGCACGGCATCCCTTCGGCGATCATCAGCGACCGAGACCCGAAGTTCACATCCAAGTTCTAGAAGGAGACGTGGGCGCAGTACGGCACGAAGCTACAGTTCTCATCGGCATATCACCCACAGACGGACGGTCAAACCGAGCGGACCAATCAGACCATGGAGCAGCTGATCAGGACAAACTGCCCCGACCCTGCCCGCTGGGAAGACTCGCTCGCGATGTTGGAATTCGCTTTCAACAACGCACCGTCCAGCACGAATAATCACTCCCCATTTTTCCTGAATTACGGGATGGACCCGACAGTTCCTACGGCAACTACTCTCGACAATCCGGTCCCGAGGTCACAGACTTTCGTGACGGAACTTCAGGAAGTCCGAGAAAAAGCCGCAGACGCAACGCAAGGCGAATATTACTTCCCGCAAATACACCGACCTTCTCCGACGGGAACTCGTCTTGACAACTGGGCAACTAGTGCTACTTGACACGAAGAACCTGCACCTGCCCGGTCCATCGAAACTACGGCCACGATTTTGCGGACCGTTCAAGATTCTCAAGATGGTGACACCTGTCACCGCGAAGCTGTTGCTACCCGACGACTGGCGCATTCATGACGCCTTCCACGTCAGCCTTCTTCGAAAGTTCGTGCCAGCAACGACCGACATCGCACGTCAGCAAGCTTCCCCGACAGCACGACCTGTCCCGGAGCCGACCCTTGACCCTTCCAAAATCCTCGCTCATCGGGTCCGCCTTGACGCAGCTGGCCGACACGTGGATTTCTTAATTCGCTGGACTGACCGCACCAGTGAGGACGACACGTGGGTGCCATCCGCCTCGCTCACGCCTCGCCACTTGCTGGTGATTACCTGGCGCGAAGGCGTGTTTCGGATATTGACCGCCTTTCTTAAGGGGGGGGGGGTGGTGTAAGGAATTTTCCCGAATTCCTTATCGGGGTTGACTGCTTCGCGTACAACCCGATTTTTGGAGTTCGCACGTTCGGCCGATTTCAACGCTGCCGAGGCTCCTCGCGTCGCCTTCGGCATTTCCATCGCCAAACATGCACCCAACCTCGCTCGTCCGAGGTTTCCTCCTAGCTAGGCTAGCCCTACATTAGTCTGTGCATTCATTGTATTCTCAGTTCATTCGATCACAGTCTCGTTATTCGTTTACCTGCGCACTCTCTTTTACAACTCATAACAGGGAAGCTGTAACCCGAAATAGCTTCTTTCATCTATGAACTTATATACTTCACAACATATTTACAAGCAGGCCGTCCCAAACTAAGCCAGCCCATTTTTGCAATTTGCTGATACAGTAAATAAAATTAACTCTTCTGGTTCACCATTGCATTACCTTAAGATTTGATTCTATATTCGAACGATGAATTCTTATTGCACAATGACAAAACCATTGTGACGAATTTTTATACAATCAAATTAAGCAAAATCCAAACAAATCTCAACATAAAGTATTACAGCAAAACTTGTTTAGAGGAATGACTGGTGGGAACAGTTTAGGTCTTTGATCAATTCAAGGGAAAATATGCCATTCGTAACCATCATGGGACTCGAAAACATTTTTGGTAAAAAAATAAAGGGTACGGTCACTGCAAAGGGTGTTTCCACGCGACAGATAAAGCGTTTCACGGAATCAGTCACAATCAACTGGTAAAAAAAACGCGAATGGTCACGGATGAAACTCTTGCCAAAACAAAATGAAACCCAAAAAGAACCTGGATGCATTTTCGGATGGTCAACCCTAAACACGTAACTTGTCAGGTGTTTAGGGTTGATCCGTTCCCAAACCGCATCCGATTCCGATTGGGTTTTAGTTTTTTTAAGAAGTTCGCAGATTGGTTGGACGCGAGCGGGAATTTTGTTGAGTTTCAAGTTTTTTTGGCGGGAGTTACATGTGTGACCATTCGCGTGATTTTTTACCTGTTGTTAGTGACTGAATCCGTGACCCCGCTTACCAAACCCGTCAGAAAACCCGATATAGTGACCGTACACGTTTTTTTTTTAACCATTCACGTTATCGAGTCCGAAGTTGGTTACTTGTGGCATATTTTCCCTCAATTCAAATAAGAGTGTATATGGGAGTAGTGGAAAGGAGCCGATGGTGGCAAAACAGTTATTATTTGTTTGTGTCAGGCGTTATCCAGCCGATGTCCTCGGTCATCCCACATGGCATACTGTACATCTCATCCGTTTCAGATTGGATATTGAGGCCATCCAACTTCTGCTTGTTCGCTTACCTGTCGCCACCTCAGCAAGTTTCGCAACCCACATCAGCATGCTAAACGATGCCCTGCGAGCCGAGCGCCATCACGGTTACAGCGATGACGACTACCAACAGCCACTAATCCTCTGCGACTCTCCCGAAGCGCTTTTCGCCACTCCCCATTAACGTCCACACAACCATTTCTTTCCACCTTAACCTAACCTTTCCGCCAATCACGCTGACGGGGGACAGTTATCCAGCCATTTCTTTTGCCTTCCCGCCAATTCTCTCCTCACCCTGGTCTTCCAGTCCATTTTTCCCTGGTGAGTCTGCAATTCACCCTAAACAGTTCATGGCTAAGCTACAGAAATGTCAGATCCCACACCCGCCCACACAACCTCCCACCAACCCACTCGTGCCCACCTCGAATCTCGCACATTTGGCCTATCTCTGAAGGCATTCCCAGAAATGACACCACGGTTCGACTGCCACACCCGGAGGAAAACGATGTGATGTTTGCTGTTGCTGTATTTCTGTTTCCACAAACTGCCGTGGGTTCTGTATTTCTAGATTTCTGTTTCCACTGTGACTCTTCCGTCACAGTCCACATGGCTTGCGGCCACTGTAGCAAGCATTGTTAAACTTGTGTACAATACGTTTCCTGGTTCCCTGAAACCCCTGCCTTGTTAAACTTGAGCGAATCCCGAAAATACTCTCTATCGATTTCATTTGTTTCCTCTAGAGTCTGAGGTCTGCTCTACCCCCAACACGCCTATTCGGTTGAGATTGCAGTGCAATGTCAGGATGATCTGGGACGGGCGTTCTTGCTGACCATTCCTCCAGATAAGATTGCAGCACGGGTGTTCAGTGAGAACGCACCAATGTCACCATCAATTCGGACGTTCTACCCTTGTCGTTAGTTCATGGTGGAGGCTGTCTGTCAATTCCACTAGAGTGTGTGCACGCTTGAGTTCCAAGTCACTCATCATCAGTGCCTCACACTTGCGCTTCTCCCGCCTGCCATTGCGTGTAACTTCATCTCAGTTTTATGTGCAACAGGAGCCGATGCGCTTTACCACACACTTGCTCGTTGCGTAGAAGCACAGGCGCTTTCGGCCAGCACCACACGGCATTATGACCCTCGCGCATACGACCTACCTCAGCTGGTCCTGCATTTAAGACTTTCCATTCCAGCCAGTTGGTGCGCAAACATATCGAGCGGTGGCCACTACACAGGCACCCATTGCCCCTAGTAGTAGCGCGAAAGGGCCTCCGGAGCAGTGCGCGCGTACCAGCCCCCGCGAGCTATTCTGCGGCAGCCGAACCCGAGTTTTACTCGCTAATTAGGGCTACCCCACTCTTGTTTCCACCTCACACCTCCGTGCCCCCGGCTCTATATACGCCTGGTCCCATCCACTCTCCTGTTCGATATTCTCATTTGTATCATGGGGGATGTCCCGGACCCCTTGCCCCTCGTCACCCCCACCCTCGCCCCCCACCACTGCCCCGCGCTGGCCGCCATGCCAATCATCTCCGCCGCCCTTCCACCCGCCCTAGCTCCCTCCGCCGATCGCGCCGACCCCGTTCCCGCGCTTCCCCCCACGGTGCCTTCCCGCCTGCAGGCGCGGCTGTCCGCGCTTGGGCACGGCGCAGCCAGCAGCACGTGCCTGGCGGAAATGCGCGCTCTCTCTCCCCCGCGCGGCTCCTGCTCCGATGACGCGCTGCTGCGCCACAGCGCGGGTGCAGTGCCGATTGGCGGAGGGGATCGGGGAGGAGCGGGGGAGCTGGGGAACGAAGCGGAGGGAGGGGGAGTGGTGATGGTGGGCAACGGAGTGGTGGTAGATGTAGAGCGGTTGAAAGCAGCTCAATACGATGCATGGATGGTGAGCTATCCGCTTTCCGCCAAGTCGGCGTTGCCTCCCCCATCCCCTTCTCCCTTCTTGCTTCTCCCCTCTCCCTCTCCCTCCCAAACATACCTCCGTTCGTCTAGCCCTTCCCCTCTCGCCCGTTTCGCCCCAATTGCGCGCATTCCGCGCATTTACCCGTCCTCGGTTGATGAAACATCAGCCTTCCCCCACTTCCGGCCATTCAGTGGTTCCCCCCTCACCCCCTTACCCTATCACCGTCCCCTCCGCTCCTCCTCCCTTTATTCCTCTCCGCCTTCCTCCGCTCCTCCTCCCTTTTCCTCTCCGCCCAACCTCCTCTCCTCCCCCCCGCAGCTGAAGCACCCCTCCGCGCTCGCGAGTTTCGACCGCCTAGCGGCACTAATGGAGGGGCGGCAGGTCGCGGTGTTCCTCGATTACGACGGCACGCTGTCCCCGATAGTGGACGACCCCGATAAAGCCTATATGAGCTCTGCGGTACGACCCCGCGGCGCCCATCCCTGATAGCGTAATCGTTAACTCGCTCGCCTCTGCGGCTCGTTCCCTTAGCGCTCCAACAGGACTGCCGGATCGGGGGACGGGCGGACGAGCGGATGTGTGGACTTGCGGACTGGCGGACTGGCGGCTTGACGGACTGGCGGACTGACGGTTTGACGGACTGGTCGACTGGCGGACTGGTTGGCTGTCCCTGCCATCGGCCTTCCGTCCAGCTCCTTCCCCCTTCTTCCGCCTCCCCCACCGTCGCCCCACCCCCTTTTAGCGTGCATGGAATGGCGCTTCCTAACACAGCTTAGCCACTTCCTGCAAAACGCTTAACCTCTTTCTTTTCCCGGCCACTCCGCCAATCACGCTACATTTCCTCTCTATCCGCCCCCAGCTTCCTTCCCCGCCCCTCCACCTTCTCGCCTTCCCTTTCCCTATTAACCGCCGCCCTCCCCAACCAAAACGCGGGAATCCCCACCCAACCCCCCTCCTTTCCCCCGATCTTTCTCCCGCGTCAGATGCGCGCGGCAGTGCGCGGCGTGGCTGCGCACTTCCCCGCGGCTATCATTAGCGGGCGCGGGCGCGAGAAAGTGCTATCATTTGTTCAGCTGCCCGAACTCTACTACGCGGGCAGCCACGGGATGGACATCATGCTGCCCGCGCGCAAAGGGGAAGAGGCGGACGCGGAGGGGGAAGCTGAAGGGAACGCGGAAGAGAACGGGGTAGGGGGAGGGGGAGATGGCGGAAAGGGGAAGGGGGGAGGGAGCAAGGGCGTGCGCGTGCAAGGCGCGCAGAGTGTGGACGAGAAGGGGCATCACGTGGTGCTGTTCCAGCCTGCTAGCCGGTTCGCTGGGCTCATGAGTCAGGTGCGCGCGGTCGGAATTGACTCAGCAAGTCGAGAAATTCGAAGTCGTGTCGAAACTCGAATTTGACCTGGCTGGCCTTGATTGGTGTCCGCGAAAGTGATTGTTGCGCTTATTTAGTACAACTAGTTGCGTTTTGAGTAAGTATTTTCCTGGTATCATTCACGAAGATACGGTCAAAAGGTCTGTTTGTGAAAGGTGTTTCAGCCAGAGTTTAGCTCGAAAGGCTCGTCAACTTAATTCCTGCATTGATGTGGTGGCGGCCGGGTCTCTGGCCTCTTGATCCCTATGTGGCCCACATTAACATGGACGACAGGGAATGGGGCATGGAGCACGGGCCATGGGCCATGGGGCATTTGGTTGGGGCATGGGGTATGGGGTATGGGGCATGGGGAATGGGGCATGGGGTATGGTGCATGGGGGCATGGTGCATGGGGGCATGGTGCATGGGGCATTGGGGCATTGGGCATGGGGCACGGTGGTGGGGCATGCTGGCATGCTGGCATGGGATATGGGGTATGGGGTATGGGGCATGGACTAAGGACTATTTATTGCCCCTCACTCACACACTGCTGCTTGTCACTGTCCCTCTCTGCCCTTCCCCCTTCGCGCCCCTCCTCCCCTTCCCGTGCTACCATTCCCACCAATACGATCCTGCGTGGTGGTGTGTGGTTTGGAGCGGTGCGCAGGTGTGCGATGAGCTGAGGGAGCGGTTGAAAGGGGTGCAGGGGGCGCACGTGGAGAACAACAAGTTCTGCGTCAGCGTGCATTTCAGACGCGTGCCTGAGGAGGTGAGGGGCCGAGGTGGGCGTGTGTCGTGCACACGCGCACTTACTTACACATACATGTGCATGGGGATGTGGGGGGAGGGGGAGAAGGTTATGTGTGTGGATGGCGGTGTGTGTGGGTGAGGGTATGTGTGTGTCCGGGTGCATGCGCATGTGCATGCGTGTGTGTTTGTACAAATGCTACTGCTCAGTACGCCTCAACACTCGACATATGCTGAGCAGGCTCTACATTTTTTAGACGCCTCAGCCACACTCACCACACCTTACTCTCACACGCCTCACTCTCACACGCCTCTTGCTGATCGAGGTGACTTTTGAGTCGACTCAAAAGTCACCTCTTGCTGATTGGCACGTGCTGATAAGGGCGTATCTTTGGTTCCGTTCATGAGCACTGTTCATTCTATTGTTTGGGTCATGCGGAAATTGCGCATGACCCGAAGTGGGCTGCCGAGCCGCGCGCGGCCCCAGCTTTGGGTCAATGTGCAGGTGTTGGGCGACTGACGTGCACGACCCACTCCCAACCAATCACCTGGTTGCACGATTCACGTTAGACTGCCATCTTTTTGGCGGTCGTCAGTACTGTTCCACAAATTTGCAATGTCCCGAATCCTACACCTCTGCATCCAACCACTCGGCAAATTGACCCCAGTGACCCAAGAATGTGTCTAAAATTTTCCCGCGTCGCGCTCCCAACATTTGGGGATTCACGCCAACATTTTTTACGATTGTGTTTTGCGTGGGTGTCGCAAATGAACTTTCGAACTGTGGTGGCATCCCTCCATTGGATGCGACTGTTGTTCTTGGTGTAATTTTGGCGCGAAAAGCCTCGCGCCAATTTGGGGGTCGCATGAGTTCCGAGAACCCAAAGTGGTGTTTTGTGTTGTTCCGGGCATCCGCAATTCGCGCATGCCCGGAACAGTGCTCATGACCCGAACCTGGATACGCCCTAAGTTGCTGTGTTGTGACCAACCCATTGCTCTCCCTGCTGTTCCACCTCCTCCTGCTCGTCCTGCTCTCTCTGCTCTCCCTGCTGCACTCCCTTCAACGAAACCTGTGCTGCTATTGTTGCCAAGCCCTCATGCGCCAAGCCCTCATCCGCCAAGTGATCCATCTCCCCCTCCCTCTGTCATGTGGCCTCCTGCGGTCACAACAATGGTGGCATGGGAGCAACGCTTATCGCTGGCAACGGTGGTGGTGGCGGCGATGGTGTGAACAGCTGTGGGAGGAGCAGGCGGAGGTGGTGACTCAGTTGGTGGCACAGCACCCCGAGCTGCGCACCAGCCATGGCAGGAAGGTGCGTGCGTGGGCCCCGTCGGTTTAACAATCGCCTCTCTGAGACTGGTTGACTGCATTGACTGAACTGTGGCAAAAGTAGAACCAGGGCGGGAGAAGGGTGTGTGGGTGGTGGTCCAGTCACAGTTGCTTTCCATGGTCCCTTGATTTTGTCATGCTCTGAGTGCTCCATACACACACAGCGCACACAGTCCCACCCACCACGGCCCAGTATTCTCGCTCCTACTCTACAGTCTGTCCGCTCCCCTCAGCTTCCATCCCCTCGCGTCCGCACCTTACTCCGCCCCTCACCATGTACTTGGCCATGCATGCATCCAACACATCCCACACCCCACCACACACGCCCCACGGGGCATCAGGTGTTGGAGATCCGGCCAGTGGTGGACTGGGACAAGGGCAAGGCCGTCGCCTACCTCCTCACCACCCTCGGTAACTCCTGCTCGCTTGCCACACTGCTCCCTCCCTCGCTTTCTCCTTGTTTTCTTGTGCGCCATCCCTCCTCTGCGCTGCGCCGCTCACTCTCCTGCCCTTTCTCACCTCCTATGAATAGCTCTTCAACTCTCCGCCGATTCATTTGATTTGGCCCATCCATCTGCCACTCCCGATCCCCTCCCGCTCCCTCTCCCCTTCAACCCTCCCATCACCACCCTCCCTCATTATTCAGTCTTAAATAACCTCCCTCCTCTCCTCTCCTCTCCCCTCCCCCTCCCCTCTCCTCTCCCCGCCCCCTCTCCTCTACTCTCCCCTTCCCCTCTGCTCTCCTCCCCCCTCCTCGCCATGCCACGGCACGCCATGGGCACAGGGCTGAGTGGCGACGACTCAGTGCTGCCGGTGTACATTGGAGACGACCGCACCGATGAAGACGCCTTCAAGGTAACCTCCCTCACCTCACTCACACTGAGACGTTCTGCTGCCTGCCGTGTAAGATGCTGCTGGCTGGCTGCCGCGTGGGATGGCTTCTCTTAATCAATGTAATCCCTCCCACCTCTCTCATCTCTCCCATCTCCCTCCATCTCTTCTCATATCCCCCAAAACCCCCCCATCTCCACAAATTTCTCCCCAATCTCCCTCCATTTCCCCCATCTCAACCAATCTCCCCCCAACTTCCCCCATTTCCCCCATCTCCACCCATTTCCCTCATGACCCCTCATCTCCCTCCATCCTACCCCCGGCCCGGGTGCACCAGATGCTGCAGGAGCGGGGGTCGGGGTGTGGCATCATAGTTTCCGCAGCACCCAAGCCATCTGCTGCTACCTTCTCGCTCAGAGATCCCTCCGAGGTGAAGCAAAACAGACCATGCAGGGAGGGATGGGAAGTGGTGGGGAGTGGTCAGAGAGGTGGTGGGGAGGGGCAGGGTGGGCTGGGGCGGAGTTGAGAGGGGTGGAGAGGGGTCGGGTGGATGTGGTGGGATTGGGATTGGGTTTGATGGTGTGCTGGGACGAATGTTGGAAGTCCAACGAGAGTCCCATTGTGCCGAGTCATACAGTGCACATCAGGCTGTGCCCATTGTTCGGTTTGAGGGATTACACTACCGGTGGTGCACGCATGTGTCGACCCATGCCTCCCCCATCTGTGGTTTTCCCTGTGAGTGAAAATTAATTGTTTAGTCACTGGATTTGAAACAGGGGCCATTCCTTGTCTCTCATCTCCCTGCTCTCCCTCCCCTCCTTCCTCTCACTCCTCTCCCTTGACTCCCTCCTTTCCCACTCTCTCCCCCTGTCCCTCCTCTCCTTCCTCTCCATCGCCTCCGTCCGCTTCCTCCTCTCTCCCTCTCCCCCCGCTCCCTCCCCTCCTCTCCCTTCTCTCCCTACCCGCCCTCCTCTCCCTCTTGTCCATGCTGTCGCACCAGGTGATGGATTTTCTGCAGAAGCTGGTCAAGTGGAAGGAGCAGCAGCAGCAGCACCAGTAGCAGGTGGACTTTTGATCAGGGTTGCTTCAATAAGCGTTAACATATTTTTGGCATCATTCTTGGCTTGGTCGGCCACAATAATATGAACGCTCTTACGCGGGTGTTACTGTAAGAGCTGAATGGTGGGGAAGAGCTGAGCACATTCCATATCACAAACTGGAGTGTACCACACCGTTGACGGCCTGTGATTTGACAGGACGACGTGGCGCGTTATACACTTTATTCGTCCGGTTAAGTGAAAATGCTGAACCCTTTATGTTCAACGACGCAAATGGTGGCGACTGCTACATGCTGAATCGAAACCTCGTACCTAGGATTGGAGAAATAGGAGGTGGATTGGTGGCTTGTGGATAGACCGTTCTCATTAAATTTATGTTAATAGAGCCCCAACTGAAAAGTACGAATACTGTAGCTAGGTTGGTGGCTTTCTAATATTTGTAAAAATCTTATGGGAGATTCTCGAGGCAAGCGCTGATATGCGCCATCCGTACTTGTCCGACACGTGGAATTCAATGCCCAATTCCTCCACTCACATTAGCCGAAGTTTGCTGGCGAATCTTTCGAGGCTTCAATCACTCAGCTCGCGGGTCGCGCTTTCCTTCCAATAATATACCGTCACGTGTAGGTGCGAAGATTGATCCGATTCGAGGGTCTCAGATTTCGCAACGTGGATGCTTTGCTAACGAAACCCGCTTTGCTCCTAACTAGGAGAGGTAACTTCGTGACCTGGATTCGCTTACTAGCAAAGCACATCGCATGATGTTTTGCTCCTTCAACTCAGGGACAAGGGACAACATAAATTCCTCACCCACAAATTCTTTGTGCTTTCTCTGCAATCCGTGATTTGCTGTCTTCGTGCTCTTGCTTTTTACTCTTCTGCCACATTGTACCTTGCATTTCCAGTAATCAGTAACCTTGACAATTAGCAACCTTCGCGTCATGGCTGCCGTTTCTTGTAGTCTACCCACTGCTTCTGGCTTCACGGTTTCGCGTGATCGCATCAGCCCTGCGAGGTACCTCCAAATCCAGTTCTGAGTGCTGCGTCGCTGCTATTTCCCAATCCTTTCCACCTTACCTCGTCGCTGGCTCAATAAATGACCTTATTTACGTCACCGCATGCGAAATCCCTTGCAGCCGCGTCACGTCCGTTCGGCCACTTACTAGCATCGCGCCTTTCCGAGTCGCCAGCACATCAGTGGCTGCGAGGCGGCCACTGGTGGTGGCGGCGACAGCTACTGAGACGAAGACTTCAGGTGCGTGGTTCCTCGTTTTCTGCGAGGCGCTAGTTAGGAGGTGCGAAGCGCGCTTGGGCACTGGTTAGTAGTGATCCACTTCGTCTCGATCGTGAGTGTTAACACACTAGTGGAAGGCAATAACGCGCTCCTTTTTGCCCCGAAGTGCGCAGCAATGCCTCCCTCGAGCGACATTCCTCTCCGCTGCCCTTCACCGCAACCTTACGGGGCTTTAGCGAGGATGCTTTAGGCTCCTCAAATGTTTCCATCTTAATCTTACGACGCTAGTGTGTCGTGAATATGGGTGTTGAAGGATTCTTGTGAGTCCGCTCCAGAGCTCCTCTCAACTCCTTTCCAATCCTTTCCATCCCATCCCGCTCTTCTGTCGCCGCACAGGGAAGGTCGACTGGATAAACAAGCGAAGCTTCCTCGTGAAGAACAAGGTACGTACGAACGCATGGGTAACATGACGCCCGTTGATATATATATTGTTTTGTGAGTTTAAACGAACGAATGAACCCCACGATGCAGAAATCCCGAGGAGAAAGTCGTCCCGCTCGTTAGAACGCGTGACCACGCCGCCATAGCCATGCGGATTGCCCTCCGTGTCTCTCCCTTTAAAACGCGGTCCATAACGTAAACTCAAAACATCCGTTGAAATAACCACGCGAAAGAGCGTCTTTGGTGGTGCCCTGCTGCAAGCAATCACGGAGCAAGCGCGTGCTCTTCATGTCGCGTCAAAAAACCCGCCCTCCTTTCCATCATTCTTCCCCCACAAACCTCCATCCCCCCGCCCCCCCTCCCCGCCCTTCCAACCCCCTTCCTCTCTTTCTTTCTCGCCCGCTCTCATCCCCTTCCCCAGGTGGTTGGCGTGCAGCCCGCGGAAGCCGCGCGCCTGGCGAAGGAGGAGGGCCACGTCATCATTGACGTCAGAACAGTGGCGGAGTACAACGAGGTGGGGCACGCGGGGCGATGGTGACGGCGGAAGGGGGGGACGGCGGAGAAGGGGGGAATGAGGGGGCGGGAGAGAGATCTTGCGGCTGGTATGAACGTGGATGAAGCATCTTTGGCACTCTACCTGTTTTTCTTTTCTTCCTCCCCCAATCCCTCAGCGTTCTCTATTCTTCAGCCTTCCCCGTCCTTCCCCATTCCCCCTTCTCGAGCATCCCCTCCCCTATCCCCTCCTTAGCCACCTCTTCTCCTCCCGCCCTTACATTCTCACCTCTCCCCTGCGCCCCCCCACCTTCTCATCCCCGCTCCCACCCTTTACCCACTCCCACCCCACTCTCTCCGTCACCTCCGCCCTCCCCAACCCCCCCGGTCCCCCAAACTGCGCCGATCCGTGCGCGCGTGTGCGCGCAGGTGCACCCCGAGGGCCCGGTGGGCGTGGAGTTGTACCGGCTGATCAAGGAGCTGGGTTTTTCAGGATCCGAATGAATCGACTTGTATCCCGTGCATGCTCATTGCCCTCCCCATACCACGTGCTGCCCTTGTGCGCGCAGGTGCACCCCGAGGGCGCGGTGGGCGTGGAGTTCTACCGGCTGATCAAGGAGTGGACGCCGTACCACGTGCTGCGCCGCGCCGCCTTCGCCTTCTTTGGCGTGCTCAACGGCACCGAGGAGAACCCCGAGTTCCTCAAACGTCAGTCCTGCGCGCTGCATAGTGGCACTGCTACTGGATGCGGAAAATGGAGAGGGGAGAGGAGGGCAAACGGGGAGAGGAGGGGAAGAGGAGAGAGGAGAGGACGGGGGGAGAGGATGGGAAGAAGGGAGGGGAGAGGAAAGGGGAGAGAGTTCTGTGCAGGGGGATGTAAGATGAACCCACCTCCTTGCCCGTGAGAGCTCCATCCTGTCGAGGGATGGAAAGAGAATGCTCGTTGCTTGCATTTGAGTTCCATACTCACCAGCCCCGCTCCTCGTCCCAACTCCCCTTCCTCGTACCCCCTTTCTCCTCCCAACTCCCCATCCGCTTACTGGGCTCCCCTTCCACCCACATTTCCCCTGACCCCCCTCCTCCCATACTCGGCAAGCAGAGGTGGAGGCAGCAGTTCCGGACAAGGAGACCCCAATTATCCTTGCGTGCATGCCGGGCGGCACACTCAAGCCCACCCAGAACTTCCCGTACGGCAAGGAGTCGAGGTGAGTGGTTGCAGGATTTTATTTTAGCTGCTTGTGAGGCGAAGTTGGGAAAACTAGTTTTTGTTTTTGTTTTTGTTTTTTTTTTTTTTTTTTTCGAGAGAGAGATAGATGTCCAATGGCCTTGGGTGGGTGGGTGGGTTTGGTTGTATTTGTGGTGCGTGGAGTGGAACAGGTGGGTTTAGCAACTAGGAATCCAAGACACTTACACACCTGCAGATGCACGCAGAGCAATTCAAGAAATATGATGATCGCTCTCCCTTTTTGTTGCACACCCATCATGCCATGGCACCTTCGCCCCGCCCGCACGCATGTGCAGGTCTTTAAATGCCGCTAATGTGCTTGTGAAAAATGGGTACAAGAATGTTCGCCACATCGAGGGTGGGGTGTACGACTACCTGAAAGCGAACCTCCCAGTGGAATATGTTGAGTGATGTCGTGATGGTACAGCCATGCCAGAAGTAGAGAGCAGTTGTTGGCATGTTAACCAGGCCTGTCATTCTGTGTACATTATGTAGCCAATTATTACAGAATTTACTTCCATACGAGTGGAAGACTGCCCCTGCTGATACAACTCAATCCACCCAGTATTCCGTCGTACCTCGAATTGTTTCGGGGGATAGCTGATTCATTGGCCTTAGTACAGGAACGTAAGCAGCTGCAGAATGTATATTGCCGCATCCTTTTCAAGCTTCTGTACATTTTGAGAGTTCAGATAGTAACGCATACAAGTAACGCTGTGGGTAGCGGCGGCCAAACCAAGCTACACTTCCAAGCCAATTCGCAACTGTAAGGAAAATTCCTTTTCCTTACTTCGCGTCCCCGCTCAGCGCGTACACCACTGTAGCCCCACAGTCAACACCGTTACCACTCGCAACTCTCGCATCGACAATCCTCCCGCCACCTCGCACGTCGCACCCCGACCTCACGGCTCGGCGGGTAACCCGCGCTCCGGGCCTCCGCTTCGATACTTTTCCCAACCTCAGTCTCAGGCCCGTCACGCGACAACCACAGTCCATTACCGTTACCACTGTAGTTTCGCTATATATTCTCCGCTCATGCCTTCGCTCATTGTATTCTTGCTTCGATAGTGCAATTCTCGTTCGTTCACTCAATTGCACTCGTAACACTTGGTATTCAGTGCCTACGATCTCTTCTCGGACCGCACCCACACCTTCGCTTCCCCACTATCTCAATTTTTGGGGGGGGTAGACGTCTCTCAGCGACACAGCACCGCCGCTCGTAGTGCTCTCTCGTAAGCACGCACGGCCACGACCGAGGCTCTCGATGAGCTCGCCCGACACCCCCGCCATGGCCGAATTCACGCTCGCAACATTGACGTAGGAGCAGCTCGACCGTCTGGTGCGCCAACTTGAAGATTCGGCGCTCGAAATTGCGACGCTCACGGCGGAACGTGACTCCGCGCGTCAGCAATCAACGGTGAACACTCCAGCGCCACCACACGCACCGACAAACGCATCTGCACAATCGGACGAGCCGATCGTCATTTCGTCCAGCACACCAACACAAAACAACAGCGTGGGACAGCGCTCAGGCGCAGCCAGTGATGGCATCGCCCAGCCGATGCCTGGCATGGGAGGAAACAGGGTCGCACCAAGCCCGCGGGAGCCTCGCGAAGCCCGTCGGCACGTGGAGTTCGCGGCGACAAGTGGCGAACAGGCCATTATGGCACCAATGCCACTCAAGCCGCAACGCCCGCCCTGCTTCGACCCGAGCCAGCGTGGAGGTCCGACGGTTCAATCGTGGGTCTTCACGATGAACGTCTTCTTCGACGCGAATTACGTCGAGTGGGACGCAGAGAAGATTCGGTATGCCGTTTCGCTGCTAAGGGGCCAAGCCATGGACTGGTGGCGAGTCATCGTGACGTCGCCACGCGCCTACGAGCCACCGTCGCAAGAGGAAGGGCCCACGGGTCCAGCTGTCACCTGGAGTTCATTCTGCGAGACCGCCCAATACAGCACGTGGGATGCGTGGTGCGCAGGGCTTCGGGCGCGCTTCGAGCCGATCGCGGCTTCTATTTCGGCGCGTCAGAGATTGCGCACTTGGCGGCAGCTCGGGTCGGTTCAAGACTATACGAGTGGTTTTCTCGCATTATGCGAGCAGGTCGGCTACATGCACGAAGCGGAGCGGGTGGACCGTTACGTCGGAGGGCTGAAGCCGGACATCTCGCACGGAATTATGCTACGCGGGCTCTCGAACTTCAACGAGATTCTCGCGCTCGCCGAGAAAATCGACATTTTACGCCGTCCGAGACCGAGGTCCTACTACGGACATCGTCCTCGGGGACCGACCGAGCACGTCACGGTACACGCCGTTGCGACGAACGCAGCTGCCGCGCCGTTTAAGGGGCGCTGCTTTGCTTGCAATAGGCCGGGCCATCGCAAGAGTGAATGCCAAGAAGAGCTAAGGCGCCGCGGAGCAGAGCAGGGGAGGGAGTCTCCAAGGCAGGGAAACGCCAGCAGTCAGTAGGAATCGGGCCAACTACTGACGAGACTGCCTGCTCGCCCAACCCCACCGACCCTCACCGAATCACAGTACCGATTCATGCTATCGATCGGACTCGGACGAATAAGGAGGGTACAGCGACGGATTGCCCAGTACTGATCCACGGGAAAATACAGGGAGCAGCAGTGAAGATTTTTATCGACGGAGGAGCAAGTCACAGTTTAGTTAATACCGCAACCGCACGGAAACTGCAACTGACACTTAGCCGTTGTTTACCTGAGATAGACGCACGCTTAGTCGACGGCACGCCGCTGGCCATACGGGAGAAGGTGGAAAGAGTAAAAGTTCGCTGCGGGGGAAACTTCGGGTTTACACAGGAAATGCTCGCGACGACACTGGATGGGCACGACATTTTACTAGGACGTGATTGGCTGCGACGATACAACCCGAAAATTGACTAGACGACAGGAAGCTGCACTGTGCGAAGTAGTGGTAACTGGATCGAACTACCTCGCTGGCAGTCGCCTGAGTCTTCAACGGTCCACGTCAACGCCATCTCGATGAAACGGGCAATCGCCGCTGGAGCTGACGTGTACGCAGTGGACATTGCCGTAGTGGAAGAAGCAGAGCAGCCGAGCGATTTTCAGAAACTGTTAGCAGCAGTACCGCCCAAACTATAGGAACTGTTGAAACGATACCCCGGGATTTTTCCGGACGACTTACCAGAAGGACTGCCACCTCAGCGGGCACATGACCACCGCATAGAATTAGAACCGGGGGCATAGCCAACTGTACAGCGACAATTTCGACTGACACAGCCAGAGCTCGACGAACTGAGGAAGCAGTTAGATTACCTGTTAGAGAAAGAATTCATCCGACCGAGTTCGTCACCGTTCGCCGCACCGATACTGTTCACACCGAAAAAAGACGGGGGTTTTCGCATGTGTATCGACCACAGAGCACTGAACAGGGTAACAGTCAAGTCGCGGTACCCCATTCCCCGCGCCGACGAACTGATCGACCAACTGCGAACAGCACGGGTTTTTTCGAAAATAGATTTAAGGGGAGGTTACCATCAGATTAGGGTCGAACCATCGGACTGCGCCAAAACAGCTTTCAGGACTAGGTACGGGTCGTTCGAGTACACTGTGATGCCATTCGGGCTGACCAACGCACCGGCGACTTTTCAGATGACCATGAACGAGGCGTTTAGGCCGCTTTTAGATAAATGCGTGATAGTTTACCTCGACGACATCCTCGTCTACAGTCGCGACAAGCAGCAGCACTTAGCAGATCTGGAAGTAGTATTTAAGATTTAAGACGAGCATCGGCTACTGACAAAGGGTTCCAAGTGCGAGTTCTTTCAGGATAGGTTAGAGTTTTTGGGGCACGTTATTTCGGAGGCTGGGGTCGAAATTGACCCAAAGAAGTTAGACACGGTAAAAGCCTGGCACCCCCCGACGAATATTACGGAACTGCAGAGTTTCTTAGGGTTCGTAAACTACGTGCGTCGGTTCGTCCCCGACATGGCACGGTTGACGACGCAACTGACGGAATTATTACGGAAGGGGGTCGCTTTTACGTGGGGGGAGAAAGAGCATGCTGCCTTCTCTGCCCTTAAAACTGTTCTCTGTTCACCGCCCGTCCTGCGCATCGCCGACCCACACCGCCCATTCGAAGTAGTTACTGACGCCAGCGACATCGCCATCGGAGCCGTACTGCTACAGGACTTCGGCAACGGCCTACAACCCATCGCATACGAATCACGAAAACTGCATCCGCCCGAAAAAAATTACCCGATACACGACCGCGAAATGCTTGCGATCGTGCATGCGTTCAAAGTGTGGCGTTGTTACTTGACCGGCGCAGACGTGACAGTACGGACAGACCATAAATCACTACAGTACCTCCGCGCACAGCCACACCTCAACCCACGACAGATTCGTTGGCTCGACTTCCTCGAGTCAAATTTTCACTATACGGTCACCTACAAAAAGGGAGCCTCGAACATCGCCGACGCACTGACCCGCCCCACTGCCCAGATCCACGCAATACTACTCGCCCAGATAAGCCCACTACTGACAGGCCTATTTACCCACGGGTACCAAATGGACCCATTCTTCACAGGAGGAAATTCGCAGCAGTTCGCAGCAGCAAGGGGAGTCTATTACGTAAAAGCCGGGACTGACCGCATTTGGGTACCTGGGTATACACTGCTACGGGAATTAATATTACAGGAGGCACATGACGGAGTCACCTCGGGGCATTTCGGAGTAGAAAAAACACGGCAGCAGCTGCAGCGGTATTATTACTGGCCTGAAATGTTGACCGACGTACAACGACACGTGGCATCGTGTCCCACTTGTCAGCTTATGAAATCATCAAGGCAGCGGCCGGCAGGACAGTTGCAGCCGATACCACCTCCAGAGCGTGCTTGGCAGCAGGTGACGGTGGACTTCGTCACGGGGTTACCGGCCGGGGCGAGTGGGAACGACGCGATCCTGGTCGTCGTCGATCGACTGACGAAAATGGCACATTTCGCAGCCTGCAAAAAATCAATCACAGCCGAAGAAACAACACGCCTCTTCATCTCCACCGTCGTTCGACTGCACGGGATACCAGCAGCAATAATCAGCGATCGCGACACGAAATTCACCAGCAACTTCTGGCGGAACCTGTGGCAGCAGTTCGGCACGCGACTGCAGTTCAGTTCATCATACCATCCCGAAACCGACGGACAGACAGAACGGACAAATCAGACTATGGAACAGCTCATCAGGGCCACGTGCGACGACCCGACCACGTGGGAACAGCAACTGCCACTCATCGAGTTCGCGTACAACAACTCGCCATCCGCCACGACCCAACAGTCACCATTTTACCTAAACTATGGACAAGACCCGACAGTACCCATGACCCCGAATCCCGACAACCCAATGCCACGAGCACAACAGTTCGCCGAAATTTTACAAGCAGCACGGACCCGGGCAGCAGATGCAATAAAAAAATCCAACATCATCGCTAAACGTAACGCCGACCGCCACCGCAGACCTGTCACTTACCAGCCCGACGACCTGGTTTTACTTGACACCCAGAACCTCCGCCTGCCCATCACCCCAAAACTCCGCCCCCGATACTGTGGACCATTTCGCATCAGCCACATGATCACACCCGTCACCGCCCACCTCCTCCTCCCTGCTGACTGGTACGTCAGCCCCTCATTCCACGTCAGCCTGCTTCGCCCTTACGTCCCGTCCACGAGCCAACTGCCACGCACTCGCCCAGCCAGCATGACACGACCGCCAACTGAACCAATCATCACCCCCGAAAAAATCCTGAGCCACCGAGTTCGTGACCCTCGAGGAGCTCGAAGGATCGAGTTCCTGATCCGCTGGAAAGACCGTACACCCACCGAAGACAACTGGGTTCCCCTGGACAGAATCGAAAACCACCCCGTCCTCACCGAGTATCTGTGCAGCCGAAACTTCAGGGATGTACACGCACTTTCGTAAGGAGGACCTCCTTAGGGGGGGGGGGTAGTGTAAGGAAAATTCCTTTTCCTTACTTCGCGTCCCCGCTCAGCGCGTACACCACTGTAGCCCCACAGTCAGCACCGTTACCACTCGCAACTCTCGCATCGACAATCCTCCCGCCACCTCGCACGTCGCACCCCGACCTCATGGCTCGGCGGGTAACCCGCGCTCCGGGCCTCCGCTTCGATACTTTTCCCAACCTCAGTCCCAGGCCCGTCACGCGACAACCACAGTCCATTACCGTTACCACTGTAGTTTCGCTATATATTCTTCGCTCATGCCTTCGCTTATTGTATTCTTGCTTCGATAGTGCAATTCTCGTTCGTTCAATCAATTGCACTCGTAACAGCAACCTACAATTGAGGGGGTGAGGCGGTAGTGCGTGATCAAGCCAACATCATTCGCAGCAGCACCACATCGAGATATGAGTCCAGCCACCAGGCTCATAATCGCGGAGGAGTCGACAGGAGAGCAGGACACGCAACTGCAACCTCGCACGGCGAGCAAGCCACACGAGCCATAATCGGTAACGACGCGCGGAAATTGACGATGGATCGGCTCGACATGAGCGTCCCCGACGCCGTCGGAGGCGCAGACGCTTATAAAAAACAGCGGCCAATGCAGCTTGTTTCATCACCAATACCACGGGTAGCACTACCATTGCTTCGATATAAAAATCCTCCCACTTTAGCACACCACTCGTGGTCAGTATTATCAGCGACTCTCGATTGATATTCATGGCTCGTCCCTGCAAGGGAGCCGCCGCCAAGGCCTTCTTCCTCCTCGCCTGCCTCACCGCCTGCGCTGCTACTCTCCGCTCCTGCGCGCGGCGCCGCCGCGGCTTCTGACACTGCGAAACCCGCAAACGCCAGTGCGGGAAACTCGACTGCGAAACCCGCGAACTCCACTGGCGGAATCTCAACAGCGAAATTCGAAACGCGACCGCCAAAAACGCGACCGCCGCCGGGAAAGCTACTGCCGGGCGTGGGAATGAGCCTCTGACGGCAACAGCGAAGCTGAGCAAGAACGCGGGCGTGGGGAAGGCGACGTCGTGCGAGTACTACGGCGACTACAGCATGGGGCTCAACGCGTACTTCGGCATGGGGCTCACCGCCACGCTACCGCCCGACACGTGGTACAAGCGCTGCGGCGCGTGCTACCTCGTGAAGTGCGCCAACGACACGAAGCGGTGCCGCGGAGACAAGGCGGCGGTGACGGTGCGCGTGGTGGGCGAGGGCAAGGCGGCGAAGCAACTGTCGCTGTCGCGCGTGGCGTGGGGCAAGATCGTGAAGGGCGACGCGGCGAGCCCCATGAACATCACGTACAAGCGCACGTCGTGTGTGTCTACCGCGGGATCCGCCGTGCGCGTGCGACGCGACGCGACGGCCGACAAGTTCAAGATCCGGCTGGTGGGGCTGGCGGGCCCCGGCACGCTGTCTCAGGTGGAGCTGAGCGCGGACGGCAGCAAGTGGGTGAACCTCACGCGCGACGGCAGCAAGGCCGTGTGGGTGGCGGGCGCGGACGCCAAGCAGGTGGTCGGAGCCAAGAAGGCCATGAGCGTTTGGCTCACGGCGCCCCACACGCTCGAGAAGATCACGCTCTCGACCGTCATTCCTGCCAACTGGAAGGCCGCTGGGCTGTACAGCTCCAAGGTGAACTTCAAGCAGGTGCTGCCCAAGGGCACCACGAAGAAGAGCAAGTAGTAGATGCTGCAGGACGAGAATAGCTGCTGGCCATACAGCCACATTTAGCTGTTCAACTTCAGGGGGGTGGGGTGGGGGTTGAGGGGGGGAGTTGTAGTGTGCAAAAGGGTTGGCTGGGATGGGATCAGGGCTAACTTTAGTAAAATGACCCGTCTGGCTTTAAGACCGGGTCCTGGCTCCTTGTCTGATTGTCAGACGAAATCTGTAACATTGTCTAGCTTTTCAGACGAATCCTAAGTACTTGTCTGAGATTTCAGATGAAGATATATAGCCAGCAAGCAATGTATTTCAAAAATTATAAGTATAAATGTCAAGTATCCGTGATGCCAGCCTCCAATAGTCCAGTCAGTAGAACCGGAACTTGTGAAGAATGAGGTTTCAGGTTCGAATCTTGTATCTTGACTTTACCAGGCAGGTGCAGTTATCCTTCTTCTAGTCCGCGAAAATTTTGCCCTCAGACGAGAAAAGACTCGATATCTGCAGTCTCAGACGAACTGTATAAGGATGTCTAAGAATTCAGATAAATACAAAAACATTGTCTAAAAAATCAGATGAGTTTAAACGACATGTCTAGGCCATCAGATGAACCATAAAAAACGTGTCTGAAATCCAGACAAACAGACAAAATATTTCTGATAACGTAGGCCCTGGATGGGATGGGTGCTGAGATTGAAGTTGCCAGTTTGTGGGTCTGAGAATGATGGGTGGGTTTGTAGGAATTGTAGGAATTGTTATTCGCCTTCTTTTCATATATGGCAGATTATCAAATGTCTCGAACGTTCGATAGGGATGTTTTTCCCATGGTCAATCAGGCAAATTGATTCAAATTAAAGGTTTCCGGACATAACTTTACCATGATAAAGAGTTGTCGTAGACTTGGCATTATAAAGCGTTTTTCCAATTCTCTGGGGACTGACTGGGCTGGGTCTCCGTCTCGGACCGCGTGCCAGGGTTCCGCGCGAAATTCCTTGGAGTTTGACGCGCTGCGGCAGGTGAGTGCTGGAATGGCGTGTTTCTGCTCCAACATTTCCTCTGGAGGCTTGCCAGCAATCCCATACGGTGATAACCTTGAAGTCTGCTCGATTGTGGGCTTCGAACCTGGAAGACTCCAACGTTGGAAACACCAATCTGTGGGACCAGGAGCGACGTCCAGGCGAGACAGCTCTTACCATCCTCGATGCAGTTGCATAGGAGTAACATTGCTAGAACATTACATATTGGCATTCGGTAGAAAGATAGGAAGCTCGGCCACTCACGACACACATCTACGAACTTTTGAGAACTAGCAAAATCAGATTTCTGAGCATGACAACAACCAGTCAGCATCCGCTGCGCGTCAGTGCAGCCATGGATAGCCCGTTTACGAAACAGTGCCGAGAGCTGGGAATACGGCTGCCTAAGAAACGCTCGAGGGCCGACTATTGGAGTCGACAGTCTGCTGAAAAGGCAGGAGCAGCGGTGAGCGAGCATACAAAGGAGCTGATTCGACAGCAGGAGATCCTTTTGCAGCATGCTATGTCCGTCAGCCTCGCGGGAGCAGCGGTGCAACGAGCGATGCAAGTGGAAAGAGAAATTCGCGAAAAGCAGTGGGAGGAGGTGAGATATCGAAAAATATGGCCATTCTTGCCATACCTCTTCAGTTTACGCGTGGATTCGTCTCTTAGAATGGAAAATTCCGATACAATGGAAAATCTGGCGTGAATCGTTTTCTCGTACGACAGGCTAGCAAGCGGAGCTCTATGGAGGCGTTAAATCGGCATGTTGAAGATGATCTTACCGCCGTGGAAGATGGGCTCCAAAAGCTCAAACTGCTTGCCAACCATCGACGGTTAGGTGCGTTCAACGATCAAAAAGAAACATAAAGTTTTTGTTGCCGCCGATTCACCTGATCTTGGACGTTTGCCGCTGGATTGATTGTAATTCAGGTGGTGGTAGACTCGTAGCAAGGTCGCTGATATGTGTCTTCCAGCCCTTGCCGTTAATTTTAAAACACTTGGAGCTTTCTCCTGCTCTCCATCATATTCTCGTGCCTAACTTTCTTACTGTTGTTGTCTTCTGTCCTCTTTCGCTCATCCTCTCGGTGACGTCGCACGCTTGTCATCGTGCTTAATACACGGCACGCCGTTTTATCGTCAATTCAGCCGCGGCAGTCGCAGGAAAAGCTCTCCTATCTCGGAAGCAAACTATCCAGCAGCTTCGAGCCGAGATTAACAAGGTGCACCTCTCCTCCACGCCAGGCACGACAGGCCCACTTGTTTCACGATCCTGTTTTCAGCTAACTTTCTCAGATTCGTTTCTGCTCCGATTTTCTTTCTCGTTTAATTCCTTAACAAACGGTTACCGCCAGACGCCTGTTCCACTGAACTTGCCTCACGTTTCCTACTTTTGTTGGCGGCTGGATTTTTTGCAGGCTCAGGCCGAGCGGTACCGACAACGCTGTGAGGCGAGCCTTGGCGAACTGGTCAAGAGACAGGTTGTTCTTGTAGACGAAGGAGTGGAGGCCGTGATAAGCGAACCCGCAGTAGTTGGCTTGCAAGGGGATCTGCCTCTGTCTTCCACACCTGAGGGCGAGGAGGACGAGAAGTCGGCAGAAATTCAGACGCGTAGGCGAGCGCAAGTAGAGGAAGTGGGAGGAAGGGATGAGCCTGAATGCGCGTTGAAAGAGCAAGCGACGTTGTCCGTTGAGGACGGAGAGCTCCCTGTCGCACATAGCTCTCCCGTGCCATCGAACACCCCTACGAACGTTGCGACGCACTGTGCGACGGTGCCGTCGGACGACGACGATGCGCTGCTCCAAGCGGCGCTGGCAATTCCTCCGCCCGCGCGGCACCAGCTGCCCCGCACGCCCCTGCCGCAAGCAACCGTTCCAGCAGGCGACGCCGCTGATCCGTGTCCGGCAGTGGCAGTTGATAAGGTAGTGGAGGGCGATATGACAGTCAGGCTGGATTTGGACTCAGAGACTGGTCCAGGCTTGACGAATGTTCAGGAAGACCGTTCTGCTAGAATCCAGCAGGACGAGGTAGATGCGCGGGTGTTGGCGGTGGGAGGTGGGCAGCAGTCAGCGGAAGAGCGTTGCGGAGACGCTGGTCCGTCCGGGGCGGGTGAGTGGAGGCGAGTTGCGCGAGAGGCGGCGGAGAAGCGGCGGCTTGCGGAAGAGGAGCAGAGGCGCGCGGATGCGGTGGCGGAAGATGTGCGGAAGGAGAATGAGAAGCTGAGGGACATGCTGCGGTGTTTCGAGCACTCAGTGGTAGATGAGGTGAGCATGACTGGTTGGTCGTTTGACGGACGACTAGGAGAGAAGGGACACCTGATTGATTTATTGATGGTCGGTCACCCGATTGACTGACACGCAACCTGATAAACCTCGCGAGCGCCGTCTCTCTCCTTCCGTCCCCATGCTGCGACCATCTCGTTGCATTTCGCGCTGGTCTCTTGACTCGTCCGCACCTCACGCTCTTCCGTCTCCCCGTTTCCCGCCCAATCTTCTCCCTCCTCCCTCCTTTCCCACCTCCCGTTTTCATCGCAGGCGGGCCGCGAGCTCCTCCGCCAGATTCTCGACTCCCTCCGCAGCCACGGTGACGCGTCCGCTCCTCCATCCACCTCCGCGGCACTCCCCTTCGCGCACTCCGCCTACGAACCCGCTGAAACGGCGCCGCTACTTTCTCCTGCTCCTCCTGCTGCTGCTGAAACTGCTGCTGCTGCTGCCGCTGCTGGTTCGGGAGATCATCAGGCTTCGGCAGAGGAGGCAGGCTCGCTGAATCGTCACCTCTCGCTTCCCGCTGTTCCCCGCAACTCCATCACTCACTGGCCTGTAGACGCAGGAGTAGAGCCAGCAGAACTCGCAGCACCAGTGCTGCTATCAGGAGCATCATCATCATCAGCAGCAGCAGCAGCAGCAGCAGAAGCGAGAGGTGACGATTCAGTTTTAGCAGCACCTGCTGCAGCAGTAAATGAGGAGAAAGCAGTAACTGCAGCAGCAGCGCCGCCAGCAGCAGCAGTTGCAGCAGAATCAGTTCAAGAAGAAACAGCAGCATCCGCAGCAGCGCCACCATCGGTAGCAGCAGCAGAAGAAGACAGGAAGGCAGCTTCAGCAGAACTTGCAGCAGCAGCGCCAGCAGCAGCATCACCATCCGCAGCGGCGGAAGAAGAAGAAAGGAAGGAAGAAGCAGAACAAGGAGCAGCTTTAAGTGCACCCGCAGCAACAGCGTTACCACCACAAGCAGTAACAGTAATAACAATATCTTCCCAATCCAGCTCACATGCCTCTGTCCCCATGCAATGCGGCGCGATTGTTTGCTCGCAGAATCCAAACAGCAACAATCCCAGCGAAACCATCACTCCTGGCGCCAACTCTGTGGGAGGCGAAAGTGGGCGCGAGAGTGCAACAGCTGCAATGCGTTGCCGAGTGAGTGGTGAGGTAGGAGGAGAGGGGACCGGAAATGGAACGGAGGAACCGGGTGGAAACTTCGTGGAGAACGTTGTGACAGGGAGTGAGGTTGGAGGAGACGCAGGGGGGATGGGCACATGCGGGGAAGGACGCCTAGAGGAGCAAAGCGCAGATGGCGGAAAAGGCCTGGAGGAGAGCAGCGCGGATGGCGGAAGAGGCCGAGAGCAGAGCAGCGCAGGTGGCGGGAGCGGCGTCGATTTGCAGGACATGATCCAGAGGCTGCGCGCACGTAGCCTTCGCGCGCTGACGCAAGCGCAGGCGGAGAGGCGCGCAGAGGAAGAGGGCGCACGCGCTGCGCCAACGAGAGATGCGGGAGAGGGGGATGCGGAGGGGGAAGGGCTTGTCAATGATGCCAGCGCTGCTGCTGGCGGTGGTGGTGGCGGTGGTGGTGGCGGTGGTGGTGGTGGTGGTGATGATGATGACGGTTCACATGCTGCTGCGAATGCTGCTGGCCCTGATGCTGCTGCTGCAGGGACGAGGAACGGAAGGAGCAGGAGCAGGAGCACGGGCATGAGCGAGAGTGGTATGAATGAAAGGGAGGGGCTGGTTGACTGTGGAAGAGCAGTGGCGGCGCGCAAGGGACGGAAGAGAGCAGGGGAGAGCCAGGGAAGGAGTTATGAGTCAGGGAGGGTGACTCGGAGTAAGACACGGAAGAGTGCAGGGCAGGGGCACGGGGAAGAGGAGGAGAGGGAGGGAGGGGATGGATGCAGCGAAGGTCTGAGCAGAAGAGTGGAACCGGTTCGGGAATCTGATGGGCCGCCGTTGATGGATGTTGCTGCTGCTGCTGCTGCTGCTCCTGCTGCTGTTGCTGCCTCTGCTACTTCCTCTGCTGCTGCTGCTGCTCCCCATGCGGCTGCTGCTACTGCTCCCCCTGTGGCTGCTGCTGCTGATGTTCCTACTGACGCTGCTGTTCCTGATGATGATAACGGTGAGGGTAGAACGAAGCGCGTCGATGGCTCACTGCAGGGCAGCAGAGCGAGCATGGGCGGTGGGAGGCGTAAGCGATGCAACAGCTCAAGCACGTGTGGTAGTGGCATGAGCGGCAAGAGTGTCAAGAGCTGCAACAGTGGCAGCAGAAAACAGCAGACCAGGAAGCAGGCTTCTGGAAACCGCAGCAGTCACTCTGCTGCTGAGGCAGCTGAATGTGCTACCGTTGAGGCAGATGCGTTGGCTCCTGCTACGGATGGGAAACAAGTCTTTCTTACACCACCCCTGGTGCCTATCGAAGGAGGGGATGAGAAGCAAGGCTCTGCAGGGGAGGACTGTGAGGACGCAGCAGTTTTGGGCAGCACGAAATGCGTAGAGACAACAAGGGCCAGCCCGGCTTGCAGCCAAGTGGCAAGTGCCCTGGGATTGACTGGAGCACCCATGGTGGTTGAGGTGTCACACACGGCTGGGGAGAGTGCAAGGGGGAGAGCAGGCAGTGCTGCAGCAGCGAACCAGCAGACCCGCTCCACGTCCCTCTCTGCAGCTAAGTGCCTGGTTGCCCTGGGGACGCACTCTCCTGTGCTGACTACTTTCTTCCAGCGGGCGTTCCCTGTGCCTAGGCTCAAGGGCTCGGGCAGTACCAGTGCTAGCAGTGGTGGCAGCAGCAGCAGGAGCAGCAAGAGTGGTGGCAGGAGTAGCGGGAGTGGCAGGAGCAGGAGCAGTGGTGGGGCCACCAAGGGGAGTGAGAAGGGAGGTGAGGGAGGAAGTAAATCAGAGGGCGAGGGTGTTGGTGGTGGTGGTGGTGTGGGTGGTGTGGGTGGTGTGGCATCGTCTCAAATGTCGCTTGTGCGGCAGGCACTCTCCTTTCAAGAGTAGCATGCTGGCTCATTCCTGTAGGTAATGTGATGAGACTCCACGGCTGAAGTGGGGAGGAATGAAGGGGGCGTAGTGAAGATGAGAGAGGGGGGTGAGCCGAGGGTGAGGGCAAGGGGAGTGTGAATGACAAGCATGTTGAGGGTCTCTGTGCATGTGCATGTGCATGTGCATGTGCGTGTGCGTGTCCATGTGCATGGGTGCGTGTGCATGTGCATGTGCGTATGTGTATGCATGTGCGTATGCGTGTGCATGTGCATGTCAGGTGTACAGGTGAGGCGCAGTGTGCTGCCTGCTGCAGGCAGGTTCTGATCGTGGCTTGGAGGCCAAAGCAGAGGCAGAGGCAGAGGGAAGAACAGAGAACACCACGACACTGTGTGTGAGGTGGTATGCGGGAGTGGTTTGCATTGCATTGCCACCGTGCCTGCTTGCTAGGCTTGCTGGGGCCTGTCGCAACGCAAGCTCTTGTACAGCTCAACTTCCGAGCACATTGCAACAGCAAGTGTTGTGCAATGTTTGTGGGATTTAGTAGGGAATTTAGCTTGTTACCGTAGGTTTAACACAGGTAATGACTCTCTACCAGGTAACTACTCTCGGGCATGCTATGCTACGGTATGATCACCTTTTATGATACTGCCACTTCAGTGAACATCAAATACACTGTTATGTTGAACAATTTCCAAATGAGGGTCATTCCCAGTTCTGTCTTTTGCGTACATACGGTACAAGCATTTCAGTAACTAGCCAAGGCGGTACAACATTGTTCAGCCATTCCTCGGTGCTTCGAACCTATCGAACATGAGCACATCACATGTACGCAAAGCATGTTCTCACAAAGCATGCAAATACAAGCTGCCTCTGGCAGCGTTTGAAAAGCAGTGGTGGCACCGGTAACACTGCTCTCATTCCACAGCTATCCTTGTCAAATCCACATCACTGCATGTCGCTCTACCATGTCACTCCACATCAATCCTTGTCACTTCCACATCAGTCCATGTCCAGTTTGGATTGCACGTAGGCCTCTGTCTCCTTGAGTGCCAGGCGGATGACAGACAAGAGCTCCTGTTAGAACGTGGGCATAAGGAGTGAGCGCACAGAGGCAGGGAGGGAGGGAAAGAGAGGGGCACACCAACACACCGGGGAGGAGTATTTTGAGTCAACCTGATGTTCATCTCTCCCTTCCGCCACTGGGATGCTGTCCCCCTCTCCCCTCTCTTTCTCCCCTCACCCTCCCCTACTGCACCCTCTCCCTTCACCCTTCCCCCCACCACTTTTCGCCTCGATATCCCCCAAAGAACGAAACACCTCTCAGCTCACCCAGCGCCATGCCTCCCCGCTCACCTGAATCTCCCCGGGAGAAATGATGAGAGCAGGCGACATAGCAATGACATCTCCAATGGTGCGCACGATGAGCCCATGCGCCGCCGCACACTGCCCAAAGAAGGGCCCCACGGCCCACGCGGACGGGAACGGCTCCTTGGTGGCGGGATCTGCGAGCTCTATAGCGAGTATGAGGCCCTGCCCCCGCACCTCCCCCACTATGGGGCTGTTGCGGCAGATGTGCCGTATGCCTCCCTGCATGTGGGGGGGGGGGGGAGAACCAGAGTGAGGAGAGGGGGACCGGGGGGAGGAGGATGAGGGGTGGGTTGGAAAGATGGGGAAGAGGATTTAAAAATGTGAAGGAAAAGATGAGGAATGGTGGACTGCGGATAATAGCGAAATCAGGACAAGAACCCAGTCACTTTCACCTCCCTTTCCCTCGTACCCCTTCTCTCACCTGGAAAAGCGGCTCAGCGGCCTGCACAACGGCAGCCACGTCCATTTCCTGATACATCCTCACCGCCTCGAACGCCACAGCACACGCCACATCCAAACAAGCCCACACATCCCATACACCACCCAGCCCCCCACCCCTCCTCCCCTCCCTTGTTCCCACCCCCTCTCACCTGGAACAGCGGCTCAGCGGCCTGCACAACAGCAGCAACATCCATCTCTTGATACATCCTCACAGCCTCCAGGTGACCTATGAGCTGACTCAAAGCCCCCTCACCCCCTCTCTCACCTGGAACAGCGGCTCAGCAGCCTGCACAACAGCAGCCACGTCCATCTCCTGATACATCCTCACCGCCTCCAGCGCCACAGCACACGCCACCGGGTGCCCCGAGTACGTGAACCCGTGCGCAAAGCTCCCCATCTTGTTGCTATGCGCCGCCACCTCGTGCGCGATCCTATGGCTGATCATCACCGCTCCGATCGGCATGTACGCAGAGGAAAGGGCCTTGGCGAGCGTCACGAGGTCCGGCTGTAAGTTGTAAAGGTCGCTGCCAAACATGGTTCCAAGGCGGCCGAAGCCGCACACCACCTCGTCCACTATAAAGAGGATGTCGTGCTTGCGCAGAATCGCCTGGACTTTCTCGAAGTAGCCTGCCGGAGGCGGGATGACGCCCCCGGCGCCCATGACCGGCTCGGCGATAAAGGCTGCGATGGTATCAGCGCCCTCGCGCTCTATGAGCGCTTCTAGGCTCTCTGCGAGGCGCGTGCTGTACTCCTGCTCGCTCTCGCCTGGGCGGCCGTAGCGCCAGTAATGCGGGCATTCTGTATGGAGTACAAAGTCCACTGGCAGGTCGAAGCTGCAGGGGGGGCGGGAGGAGAGAGGGGAGAGGGAGAAGAGGGAGAAGGGTGAGGTGAGGAGACGGGAGCAGCGGAGTAAGAAGGGGAACGCCTTTTGAGACGTCTCAGAAGGGGTATAATTGAGCAAGGTAATCTGAGTGTCAAAGTCAGCGGGGAAAGAGTTGAAACTCCATGGCAGGTCTAAGCAGCAAAAGGGGCGAGGGGGAAGGGGAAGCGGGGAGCAGGGGAGAGCGAGAGAGGCTGGCAGAGACAAGCGAGGAGCCACGATACGGCTTCCCCTCTCCCTCACTCCTACCCCATCCAGGGCAACCCACAGCCCACACCCCTCTCTCCGCCCGTTAGTCCCCCCTCATTACCCACACCCCTCCCCGAAGCGCACCTCTTGTGCAGCGGGGAGAGCCCCGTGAGGCTGGCGGAGACGAGAGTGGAGCCGTGGTACGCCTTGTCGCGCGCAATGAACTTCTTCTTGTTCGGCCGCCCCAGCGCGTTGTTGTAGTACCACACCAGCTTCACCTGCACAAAAGAGGGGGAGGATAAGGGGATGGGCGAATGGGAGTATGTTGCTTGGCTCTGGTCACGTGTTGTTGTAGTACCACACCAGCTTCACCTGCAGGAGAGGCGGATAGGGGGGTGGGGGGGGGTTTGAGACGTCTCAAAACACAACACTACTTCTATCACCCACCCCAGCGCGTTGTCTTGTTGTACCACACTAGCTTCACCTGCACCAGGGGACATCAGGGGATGCGCGGATGTGAGTATGTTGCTTGCCTCTGCTCACGTGTTGTTGTGATAACTTTTGAGACGCCTCAAAAGTCGCTCTGGTCACGTGTTGTTGTGATAACACATCAGCTTTACGTGGCGGAATGGTTGGGTGGGATGGTGAGATGGTGGGATGTGGGACGAGGGCATGGAAGGGGATGAAGCGTGTGTGGAACTACAGGGAAAAGAGGAGTTGTTGATTGGGATGGTCGTGTGGGGATGTGTGCCTGTCACTCCCCACCACCACACCTCTCCACCCCTTAGGCATCAGAGCAAAACCACACACCGGGTGTTTGGGGTGCCCCCCTCACCTGAGCCCACCTGAGCCCACCTGAGCCCACCTGAGCCCACCTGAGCGGTCAGCCCCTCCCTGTGGTGCCCACCTGCGTGTCGTTGGCATCAGAGCCGCTGTTGGTGAAGAACACCTGCCCCATGCGCTCCGCCGTGAACATGCCCGTCAGCTCCTGCGCAGCAGGGGGAAAGGGGGAACACGGGGTGAGAGGACGGGGAGAGAGGGGACGAGGGGAGAGGGGACGGCGGGAGAGGAAAAGGGAGAGGGGTTGAGGGCGATAGATTGAGTAAAAGACGCAGCTAGAGGAAGGTGGGAGCGGAAGCGTCTCAAGCGGGGAGCGGATGGGAGATACACCGACAGCGCCAAGTCCCATGCGCCATGCATCATGGCCCATGCGCCATGTGCAACGCGCGACGCGCCGCACCTTAGCGAGTTCCATGGCGGGCTCCGTGGCGCGATTCCAGAACGAGTGGTAGAACGGAAGCTTCTTCATCTGCGCGTCCGCCGCGTCGATCAGCCGCTGCTCGTTGCCGCCCAGCGCCGTGCTCCACAGCCCCGCGAGTCCGTCCAAATACCGCCGCCCGTCGCTGTCCCAGATGTACACGCCCTCGGACTTGACTATAACGAGCGGGTGCGCGTCGGTGAACTGGTGCGCCGCGGTGAACGGCGCGAGCATGTCGTGCGACCGCACGGGCACCGCCGGGCGATGCGCCGCGTCGTCCGGTGATGCCACGTGGATCTTGTGCGTGTCATGAATCGCCGTTGCTTGCACTGACATGACAGACAAGGGGGGCGGGGGAAAATGAGGGGGGATGGGGGAAGGGGGGAGGGGGGAAGAGAAGTGGGCAACGGGAAGCAGCGGAGCGGAAAATGGCGGACAAAAGGCGGCATGAGAAGGAAGCCTGCTGCGCGAAAGCCATGCGACGACGGGCGTTTTTGAGCGAGAAAAACGGGTGCTGGCAGCGATGGGGCAATCAATACGAACTGAAGTACCCAAAACGCTACGGTGGCTTCTATGCCATGGAAGGGGGTGACCTGGAGAGCGGCGAATCGGCGACCCTGAGGAGCGGCGAGGCGACTAGCATCGTCCTGGGGACGAGAGAGCGGACCCACACAGGCTCGTTCATCTTACGAGCAACCGAACGACCGTCGCTCAATCCCAGCCGGCATGCTGTTACCTATCACACGTCCTAACCTCCAGACGGTTCTTTAATCCACTCGTACGGGTTTCCTTTCTTGAAAATACACCTCACCTGGAACAGCGGGTGTTGTCTCCGCTGCTTTCCCTAAACCTGCCTCCTCCTGCGCGCCTCCCGTCGGAACAACAGCCGCACTCGCCATGGCCAGTCGTCGCCCGGTCAAGAACTCCCCTCGATGCAGCAATCTCGTGGAACTCGCAGAAAGAGTCGAACTTGTCAAGCTCGCACAAACGCTTGCGTTCGCACTGCTAACAGTACTAGCAGCTCCATCGCGCAAAGAAAGCCTGAAACTTGCAGCGGTGGCAGCAGGAGCAGCAGAGGCCACGCGGGCCCCTGCTGCTGCCGCGGAGAGCGCGGAAGACGCCGTGGTGGCGGGCGGACTGACGCGCGGTCGCGCGGAGCTGATTCCGCGGAGAGAAAAGCTCTAGTAGCCGGAGGCCGAACGCGACGCTTTTCGTCAGGCGGGGAGGGGTTCGTGACGTGAAGCTGGTTTGCGGCCGGAGCAGACACGTGTCAGGCAGTCGCGGATGGTTGCATGCAAAAGGCCAAGAAGCCGAGTCGCGGTTCGGTTCGAGAGAACAATGAAAGAGGCTCTTGGCTGGTGGGAGGGGCGCTAATGCGAGGTTCTGAAATGCAAGATCCGGCAGGGTGGATGGAATGTGAATGTGATGGATTGCGCATGTGGTTTATATGTTGCTGCCGTGCGGGGCGGAATGCGAGGGGGAAGGGCGGGGGAGAGGAACGGGGGGAAGGGCAGCGCAGTGCGAAATGAGATGAGCGGAAATAACGCGGAGCTGGGTAAGCTGCGAGGCGAGGACAAGCGCATGACAGACAGACAGGAAGATTGTTCCCCATCTGCGCAAGGGTTGGCCCGACCCCTATAGTCCCGTTTTTGGCGGGAAATTTTGCAGCTTGACCGAATCATTGCACGAATCAGCTCCGCAGCCAATCAGAGGCTCCAGATCAAACCAGCATTCAAAGAAAACGATGAAAAAGGGATCATCAATTCTATATTTTAACTTTTTATGTAATTAATTGTATCTCTTGACCGCGACTAATTCTCAATCCTGTCGCGCTGTCTCCAGCGCGATCGACGATGACATCTCATTTATCTCGCTTACAGGGTAGAAACGAAGTTTTTGGGTCACTATTCGACCCCCAAACCATAGTTGATTTTGTTTAGTTTTGACCGTTAGTCTTGCGACATTGATCAGCGTGGAAAACCGTGCGACTGGAAGTTGAAGCAAGCGCGGTCCAAATCTACGTAAATGCCAAACTCCTGAAACTAGTAGCAAAACAACCACTCTTCATGCAATTTTCCTGAATGGGACTATAAGTATCGCGTTTTGCCTGGGGTTTGAAGGGTTTGCCACATAGTCCGTGCGCGGCGATGTTGATCCGTTGGACTATAAACGAGAACATTTGTACACCTAGCCCGCAGTATCTTCACCGTCTGAACGTTTTTCTTACAGGCCCCCCTTATGCGTTTCCGTCTAATGAGATGGTCACCCAGGGACTGCGGGACTAACAGCTCACAGCCATAAAATTTTATGTCTAATGCACTCGTACTTAGTGATCTGAGAGAAGGGCAGGAATTGGCTTTTAACAAGTTCCGACTTTTCTTCAACTGGTGAGGGTATGCATGAGTCTACCCCCTCTGGATCCGAAACTACCTTAATAAACTAGCTTGACCGCGGGAAAGTACCCCCAGCTGGTGAAGATACCGCCGGTGAAGTTAGTGCGGGCTAGGTGTAGTTCTTTCTCCGCTAGTACACCAATTGAAGCAGGGCTACACTTACGTAAAGGAATAAGCATACGTCTAGTTGCAAGGGATGCGCACTGCATGCAAGCAAATCCACTTTCGTAGGGAAGGCACATACCGGTACCATCTACATAACAAGCAGCCACATTTGATCAGGACAGAAGGAAGTAAATCCACCTTACTCAACATGTTTTCCAATGCCATAACAGAAAGTACTCGGCAAATCAGCCCGTGCCAGCTTATGTAAGAGGCTCTTCATCCTTCACTGAATTCTTCGCTCGGAGTAGCAGTGTTGTCTTCCAGGAATCCTGGAGGGAAAAAAATAAACAATTGCCATACAATTAGAAATAGGTGAAATAAGTCAATGACTTGCAAAGGCTGGCATAGGGCATATGGCCATACCGTATGTACTACAGACGTCAGGAGATACAAACCTAGGCATGTCGGCATACAGGTGCTGGGATGTCAGAGCATATACGGTAGGCATGTGGGTGTACAAGCGCATACCGTAAAAGAACGTGGGGTGTCCATGTGTCCATCACTTGTCAAAGAATCAGAACCTACCAGGCGAGTGATGTTGTCGAACTCCTTGATAGCATCTGTGAACGCCTCTGCATCCCCTTCCTCCGCTGCCTGCGCTAGGCTCTGGCAGATCACATCATACCGGCAGTGAGAGGGGAAGGGGAGGGTTGGAGAGGGAGCGAGAGGACGGGGGGGGGTGGGGTGTGGTAGGTACTGAATGGCGGTAGAGGGATTGCAGGAGGGGGTGAGGGTAAGGGGGAGGGAGAAGGGCGAACGAGCAGAGAGAGAGGGGAAGAAAAGGCACAGTGCTGCGTTGAGTGGAGGAAATGCACACATCACTGGGAGGCACTGACATTTTGTCTGCTTGTGCATGACCGCGGCCTTGTACTAGTGAGCAGGGATAGAGGAGGGCGAGAGACAGGAAAGGGGAAGGAGGTAGGAGGGAGAGACGGGGGATGAAGGAGAGAGGGAGGAGGGAGAGTAGAGGGGTAGACAAGGGAGGGCATGCAGCGCAGAGAGAGAGAAACGAGGAGGAGAGGCGGAAGAGAGGAGGGATTGGGGGTGAGGAGAAGGGACGGGAGGGAGAGAGGAGGGACGAAGGTAAATAGAAAAGGAATAGACGACGGAAAGGGACAAGAGAGAGGAGTAAGAGAGGCGCGCGAGAGAGGCGAAAATGAGTTGGGAAAAGCACTGCAGCTTACTGATAGCAGTTTGAATTCCCTCGTGTCTGAGAAAGTGGGGTCCATTTCCTGTACACAGAACACCAGGACACACACGCACACACGCACACAGAGAGAGCAATGCAGAGCTTCATGAGGCGCGGCCACAGTAGAAAGATTCATGCTGTTCTGTGGGACAAAAGGAGGGCCACTTTAAGGCGTGGTTGAAGTAGCAGCAGCATGCCACGATTCACAGGTACCGACACAGACGCATCCACAGACACACACACACGCGCACACAGATGCCTGCAGCATTGTACAGAAGCTTGAGACACGTGCAGTCAGGTTCAATGAGAAACACTAGAGGAAAAGTTCAGAAAAGGGAAGAGGGAATGGGGCGGGCCGGGGGGGAAGAGACTTGCGAAGGACAGGGAAGAGCAGGGAAAATCTGGAGGACGGCGAACACAGAAGCAAGAACACCCAAAGCCAGCACCTCCCCGCACCTCCTCTCACGTCCCCCCCTCACCGCACCTGGTACTTGTCGAGTGCGTTGTTAACAGCAACGGTGTCGGCGCGGCAGAGCTGGCAGATGCCGGCGTTGAGGAGGTAGTTCTTGACGCTGTACTTGAGCAGGTTGCTGCTCAGCGAGTCCCTCGCCACCTGCTCATAGATCTCTATCGCTGCTGCGTAGCTGCCGGGAGGACGGCGGGGGGCACGGGGTGGGGAGTGCGGGGTACAGGAAGAATTGAAGGGATTGGGTTGCCAAGTGGGGGTGTACGGTGGGGGGTTGGGTGTGCAGGGTTGGGAACGGCGTGGGGAGCAGTAGGGGAGGTTGGGTGTGGGGTGCCAGACGCGTTCTGTGTGGCCACACAATGTGTCCCTCCTACAAGTACCCTCACCTCCTTCTCCCATCCCCCCCTCTCATACCACCCTCCTTCCCTTAGTTGGTCATTTACGTTTACGTCTACGTACGTACGTGTACGGGTACGTAAGTTTACGTAGCTGACTGATTTTGCCCTAATGTACGGGCAGCTGAAAATGTTTTTTTTCTGCCCAAATACGTTTTTTTTTTTTTTTTTTTTTTTTTTTTTTTTTCATTTAGTAATCTCTTGTAATGATGCTGACGGAAGCCGCAGGGACGCACAAACGTGTCCCCGCAATGAGAAATTGGTGCGACGAAACCAAACAGATTGGTGTCGCAACTGAATGGGTTCGCCGATGTAGCTCGGCGGTGGCGAAACTGCTGAGCGGGTGAAATTCCCGTGCCTAGCAAGCGAATCAATCGCATCGCAATCTGATTCAAACTGTTCGCAATGTGTTTTCGTGAGCCGTTTCGCTCAGATCTTTCCCTTCGCTCAGTCCACCGCAACCCCCTCCCTCTCGACAGTCTTAGGGCGTGTCCCACGAGTTCGTTTACAGTTCAAGTTCAGGGTTGTAACCCTGTTTTTCGTCTGTAACCCTTCCCTGCATGACATGCGTCTTCAATGACGCACCTGATGACACGCCTAAGACGTCCGGGGGTTCGTACTACCCCACGTACAAGGTACGTGAGATCACTTCGTACCGGGTCCTCCAATCCGTTACCCCAATCGGAGACTTCGCGCACATTCAGTCGCGCGAAAAAAAAAAAAAAACAAACAAAAATTCGCAAGGGGCACAGTTGATTCGCACTGTGGCGGGTTACCGCTCGCGGCCCAAGTTCGGATGACGATTTTTGTGTGGGTAGGGCTATGAGTCCGCGTGGGTCAATTTCGTTTGGCGCTGTGCTGACGCGCCTCGTGTTTTTTCACGTCAGAGTGTACACTCTTCTGCTTTGTCGAAGTTACGTAAAAATTATGATTTTCTCCCCAAATGAACTCATGAGACACGCCCTTAGCTATTGCGACTTTGCCACCAAGTCGACAAGGCGCCATAGTTAGTCTTAATCTACCTAGATAGAAACCTTACGATTTCTTCTCAAACAACGACTAGCGGGAATCGTCACACTGTTTCACTAACATACTAGGAGAGCACAGGACGCCGTAATCTTTCTTCTATGAGATTTCCGGAAATCGTTTATCAATAAATTTTAGGGGAAAAAATTTGCCTGCGGAGATTTTTTGGATCTGCCCGGCGTACGTACACGTAAACGTACATTTACGCGTACGTTATGTGTACGTGGGCTGAAATGGCGTAAATGACCAACTTAGCTCCTTCCTGACCTCCCCAGTACATTCCCCCTCCCTCAAATCCTCGGCCCCTCTCTCCTTCACATCCCACCATTCTCCCTTCACCCTAACCCCACTCTCCCTCTCTCCCCCACCACGTACTCAGCATTGAGAGCGGAGTACTCAGCGACCTTGAGCTTCATCTGGTTCACACTCGTGTTGGCGTTCTCCGTCTGATAGAAGTCCGCTGCTCGCCCAAACCAGATCACCGCGTTTGCTGCGTCCTCCTCCTTCTCGTACATCTCCGCCAGGTCCTGGGAGGGAGGGGCCGGGACGTGGAGGGGATGGGGGGAGAGGTGGGGGGAGAGAGAGAAAGCTGATTTTTCCTGGCGTCTCAACACCACTCCTCCTTCGCGTACATTTCTGCCAGGTCTGGGAGGAGGGGAAAGGGAGGAGTCGTGGAGGAGGAAGGATAACTAGTGAAACGTGATGAGAGAAAAAGAGGAGGTGAGAGGAGGGCCAATGGAGAAGAGAGGGGAGGAGAATTGGCGAAAGGAGAGGAGGGGAGAGGAGAGGAGGGGAGAGGAGAGGAGAGAAGAGGAAAGGTGGAGGGCAGAAGAGGAAAGGAGGGGAGAGGAGCGAGGTAAAAGCAAACCACGTTGCGGCGCATGCTTGTCCCTGACTCTCTGACTGGACGACAGTGAAGGGCAGTGGGGGGGTGGCATGCGCACCAGTCAGGCATCAAGATTTGACTTGTGGATGCGAAAGATACTAGAAAACGGCAAGAGGAGAGAGAGAGGAGGAACTGGCAGCGGTGAGTCACCTTGCAGTGGCGCGCTGCCATGCTGAGCCTGCCGTTGTCAATGAACAGGTCTATGGCCTCCTTCAGCCGCTCCTTTGCCACTGTTGTGTATGCATGGGCGTGCATGTGCGTGCATGTATGTGCGTGTATGTGCGTGCATGTGCATGTGCATGTGCATGCATGCGTGGATGTGTGTGTATGTGTGAGGATGTGACAGGCAGAATGCGGGGTTATTGAGTAAAAATCAGTCTTGCATGTGCACAAAAAAAGAACCACATGGGAGTCTAAGCCACAGGACGCAGCAACCATCGGCAACCATCCCTGAGAGAACCTCTCAAGAGACTCCACTGACACACATGCACTGGCATGGGTGGCACACATGCACTGGCATGGGTGGCACACATGCACTGGCATGGGTGGCACACATGCACTGGCATGGGTGGCACACACTGGCATGGGTGGCATGGGTGGCACACACTGGCATGGGTGGCACACATGCACTGGCATGGGTGGCACACATGCACTGGCATGGGTGGCACACATGCACTGGCATGGGTGGCACACACTGGCATGGGTGGCACACATGCACTGGCATGGTTGGCACACATGCACTGGCATGGGTGGCACACATGCACTGGCATGGGTGGCACACATGCACTGGCATGGGTGGCACACACTGGCATGGGTGGCACACATGCACTGGCATGGGTGGCACACATGCACTGGCATGGGTGGCACACATGCACTGGCATGGGTGGCACACATGCACTGGCATGGGTGGCACACACTGGCATGGGTGGCATGGGTGGCATGGGTGGCACACACTGGCATGGGTGGCACACATGCACTGGCATGGGTGGCACACATGCACTGGCATGGGTGGCACACACTGGCATGGGTGGCACACATGCACTGGCATGGGTGGCACACATGCACTGGCATGGGTGGCACACATGCATGGCGTGACGACTGCTGCTGCATCGGCGCAGACACCTTCTCACTCACCTCCCACCCAGCAAGTCGACCTTCCCTGCTTGCCATACAAATGGGTGGGCGGGTATGATACCCCTGCTTAGCCGCTGTCAAACCCCACAAACCACTGCGTAACCGCTGGCCCACCCTTCACACTGCCTGCCCCACCTGCCCGCCCCACCCTTCACACTGCTCCAAGCCCCCACCGTGCCCCCTGTCATGTCCCCTTCACTGGCGCACTGCCCCTTTCACTGCGGCAGTGCCCCCCTGTCCCGCGCAACGCTCCCCCGACTGGCGCAGCGCCGTCCTCACCAGCGGGTCTGGTCTTCTTGAGAGCGTTGCTGGCCTCTATGAGCGCAGACGCCGCCTCGTGCGAGCTGTCCAGGTGCTGCCGGGGGAAGGGAGGTGGGGGCACGGGGGGTGACGCAGGGGGGTGGCGCAGGGGAGCGAGAATGCGCTGGTGGGAATACGCTGCGGGGTTTCAAAGGTCACGCATGCGATACGGTGGCAGGTCGCGACAAGGGAGGCGATCCATGCGAAAGCTCGAGATGGCGAAGGAAATCCTTGCGACAATCCAAAAAGGAGACGTGATGGAAAGCCTAAGCGGCGAGGGAAGCTAGTTAGCTAGGCTAGACTGCGAATGGAGTTGCAGAGGCCCGGCGGAGAAGAAGACGGGCGGAGAGCGGGGAGGATAAGACGGGGCTTGCGAAGGTATTGATTGTGGAAGATTGAAAATAGAGTGGTTCCAGGTCCCATTCGATCGTCGCACCTTGAGCTGGATCTCTGAGAGCCGGCAATATACGTCCGCCGCTTTGTCCCCTGCCGGCACGCATGCACACATACAGGCGTGCACGCATGCGGACGAACAGACATGCGGACATGCAGGCATGACGACAAGCAGAGATGCATACATGCAAACATGCAGATATGCACGCGTGTACACATGCAGATGTGCATGCAGGCATTTCAACATGCGCGCATGCACACATGAACACAGGGGGCATGGCAAGGGAGGATGAGTGGAAACTCATGAGAACAATAGTGCGAAGTACCGAAATTCGGTTACCACACCACGGGAACCACGAAAGGTAAGGTATGCGTCCAAATTCGTGAAAAAAAATCCACTAGCAATTTCCGATACAGCGGATCGCGTCCCTGAGATCTGATTCTGTTTCGGAAACTTCATCAGGATAAGGAGAGACCACTGACTTCGGACATGACTCGTGCATCACGAAGCGCCTATGATAACGACACCATGGCACAGTCGGATACGACCGATCGCTCGCGATCATGCGGCCACAATGGAATTCGGTCGCCAAGTTCGCATACCCCTGCGAAAGGATGTCGCCGTGCCGGTAAGGTCGGACGTCGTTCGCATGCGACGGACGAAGGGACTTACACGCTTTAGCGACCTTGTACGACGTCGCGGCTTTCTCCAATAGCTCTGCAGCCTCGTCGTATTTCCCGCCAAAAAAGGCCCATCCCTTAAGCTTCTTATCGGCCTGCTGCACCAGGGTGTCTCCCTTCTTTTCCTGATCCGCCATACTTGTCGTGTCAACTCTCGGGCAAGATGGGTTGATAGGCCTGAAATCTAAATCTCACGCACAAAGCGACTAGTACTAACGCAAAAAAATCGCAGCACTAAAGGATATCGGCAAAAGAGCGGCGCACAGCGGCGGCGGAGACCCAAACTCGCGACACGCAGATCGACGGTTTGCCTGACAGACACGAGTCTAGCGCAGTGGCGAGATGGAGGTCGAACAAGTGCACACTTCTACGCTGGCTTAGGAGCACACTGCAACTACCCTGAAGCGCACGCCGTGCTGACAAGAACCGTTTCTGCTCTTCTCACTCCAGGCAACTACGAATTCCAGTTACGAAATCGACGCCTACTTCGCTGCTTGGGCTGCCAAGCAAATCTGGCAATCTGCTGTTGCTTTTCCTTCACACACAGACTGGCGTTTGAACAAATCGAACTTCCGACCTTGGAACTGCCTCACACGCCACCTAGAGATATCCTCGCATTTGATTGCTGAAAGACCGGCTTGCCCAAATATTGCACAGTGAGTGTTATGAATGAACTTGCAGAGTGCGCAGTAAAACGAATAACGAGAATGACTGATTACTGAATTACTGAATTCCGACACAATGGAAGTGACGAGGCCTAAATTGGGGAAGTCCTAGCAAGGCGGGGAGGTTGGGCGAGGATGGCTCGGTGATGGATGCGATTGGTGCGGAGGCGAAGTGGTTCGGTGCGACGAAATAGGAAGGACAGGTTCGTCGCGTGACCCTCGGGATGTCCTCGATAACGAGTGCCTCAGTAAAGATTTGTAAATCCTTACAGTGAGCACACGCACATGCTGGGGTGGTGTTGTACTCGGTACGTTATCTTGCGTTTGTGGTTATAATGGCAGTTACACTCTGATTTTACGACTGGTTCCACTCTCATAATAGGACTCCAGCATTATTTTGCAAAAAATGCGTGAGTATCATCATACTCAGATAATTATGTTTGATTCTCGGACAATTCTTCAAGAAACTCCAAAATCATTTAATCTAGTGCGCCATGGGAGCTGCCCTGAATATTGCATATAAAAGTCTCGGCCCAACAGGGTTATGTAGTGAAGTGGCAATTTCTAAGTTGTTTGTTTACCTCACCGCTTTGAACCGCTCGCTACTCACAAACTGTGATCTGGCCTGGGGGTCATGTCCGTTCGTTTACAACTGACTATCTGGTGCGCAATGGTTTGGAGACTGTGGAAGTCCGAAACCGCTCTTAGATGTGCTTGACCGTTTTAAACCGCGTAAAACAGAACTTGAACGAAGAAATATGACGAACAGCCCAGGCGTATTCAATCGGGGCAGTTGAGTGCGATTCCGTGAACTCTAGCCCTATAAACCACTCGTTTTCTCACTTCACCACTCGAAACCGGACTCACCGGCCTCAAGTTATTACAACGAGCTGTAAACAGGCTGTGTCCTGACACGCCCTTGGACGGTTGCGTAGCGCATCAGGCATTGCGATGGGCTGCCCGTGGCATGTGAACCAACTTGCAAAGATGACCTTAGGGTGCGTCAGATCCGTTGTCGGAAAAATCCGGCCGGCCGGAATTAGCGAAGGTAACACATTCGCGACATCCGCAAAGATTCTCGAAAAGTTCGTCAAATCCGGCCATTTGTAAAAAAATTGATGGCCGGTTCAGCATTCGACAAAGTTCCGACGTGCAGTCGACTCGAAAGTCGACCAATTTGTCGACCTGAGATCGCTACAGTCACTACGCGACGTCGCCAACTCGTGCGACGCAACGTGTCACACAAGTACTGCATCTACGATTCCGTCGCACAATCCGGCGACCCTGGCGAACTGCAAATCTGACACATTTGCAAAGCGGCCATCAAATCGGCCACCAAATGTGTCAGATTTTTCGGCCCTGTAAATGTGGCCGGATATTGGTCGTTATTGAAGTCGACCATGTTGTCGACTTTGGCGAAAGATATTGTCGACCAAATTGTCGACCAAATTCCGGCCAAATCACCTTGTAACGGATCTGACGCGCCCTTACGATAGCGAGCAGGTGACATTTGTTGTTGGGTCACATCAAACCGATCTTTCGCCTGCCCGCAGGGCTATAGGTCGTTCCTTTCCACCCTTCCGAGTGCGTCACACATACCCACGGCACGGGCAGTCGGTTGTGGTGGAACTGTACACCTTGTAGTGCACTGCAATCTGGTTGGTCAATTCGTCCACGAATTTCAGGCAGACGTCGTAGTCAACCCATCCACACCACACGCCTTGACTCGATTAATTTTTTCACATTCCAGAAAATTTGTTCCACACTACCCACGCCGCGCTCCGATAATTGTCAAAAGCCCAGCCGAGTTCAGCAGCTTGAAGGAGCGCAGAACTGAAGTGACGGGCAGGGGCGCTCATTGGCACTCGTTAGCATCCTACGAAGGTGTGCGATTTTCCGCGTCGCACGGATAATGGTGCAGTATAGTTCCGACACGCATCCCCAAGCCAACTGCTGTGCCAGAGGTTAACTCAAAGAGGAGCATTACGTGGCTTCTACGTTTTAAAAAGAATACATAACGTTCTTTTCCAGGTTCCGACGCTGGATTCATGCAGCTCGTATTGAGCCGTAGCGTGCACTGCATCTAGGTCGAATCTGGCTCTTGCATTGCTCGTCTGTCGACATAGCTGGACACAGCCTCGTCCTCGAAGCGGCATAGAACCGACTTGCGACATATGTACGCAGCGGGTGCCCTCTCGAGCCTTCCTGCGCCCTCCTGCTCTCTCCCGCTCCCTCCAACCCCCAAGAAGTCCCGGACTTCCTTACCTTGCCGCTGAATCTTGCGCACCAAGAGGCAGCAGCGGGCCCTTAATCGTCTCTGCACGCTGCGTGCGCCGTCCATCGGGTGTCGCCAGACGTACTCTGACGGACTGCGGAGTAGCCCTCCCTCTCCCTCCCCTTCCCACCCACCATGACAGTGCGCTTCAAGGATTTCCCCTCCCCCTCCTCCTCCTCCTCTCTCCTCTCTTCCTCGTCTTCCTCCCCCACCCCAACACGCCCCTTTCGCCGCTTTGCATCATCCCACACCCCGCGGAATCCCCTCGGCGCGACATCTCCTCGGAATCTCCGCGCCGCGGCCCTGACGGTGCGAGGCGTCGCTTCCGAAGTCTTCGTTGTCACCGTCGCGGTACTTGCTCTCATGACACTTGCTAGCCGCGCCGCCATCCCCGCCGCCGCCGCCGCCGCCGCCGTCGCGCCCATGCATCACCGCTCCCTCTCCCGCCGGCTCCAATCCGCTCCGGCACTGGGATTATCCCGCGGCGCGATTGGCCAATCGGGAGCCGCGGCGACGCGTCGTCGGGGCATGCTCGGGACGATCGTGGTGAACAACGAGACGATTCTCCTGGTGCCGGATCGAACGGCCAGGAGAGACCCGATGAACGGGCTGCGCCCGTACACTGGAGGATGGAACCCCGCCGACCAACACTACTGGGCGGTGCGTGCGGGGGAGGCGGGACCTGATGTCTCCGAATGCTAGGCAGGATCTCTCACAACATCGTCAATGCTGAGCTGTGTGTGTGATACGGAGGAGAGTCGTGAAGTAACTATGATGTTCCATACGACGTTCCACACGACGTGCGACATGACGCGGAGACTCCTTCCCGCACCCTTTCCCTCTCTCTCCCCACGCCTCCTTCCCCCGTTTCAACCCGTTTCCCCCCTTTCCCCCGCCTCCTTCCCCCCTTCCCCCGCGCGCGGCAGTCGGTGGGGATGACGGCGTCGTTCGGGCCGATAGTGGGCGTGGCGTGGCTGCTGCTGGGGGTGGGTATAGCCGCGGGCATCTGCTGCACGTGCTGCTGCTGCCACGAGCGCTGGACCCGCATGCGCAGCGACGACTTCCGCCCCTACGACAAGCGCGACCTCACTCTCCCGCTGCTCGTCATGATCCTTGCCATACTCGCGCTCCTGTAAGCACCCACGCACCGCGGTTCGCCACTACGGCACCACGGCACGGCAGCACCCCTCTCGTTCCTCGGCAGTCTTCTGTGCCCGTGGCGTGTCTCTCATTCGACGCCATGCTACAAGCTACATCCGTCACACATCCCTCCGTCACCCCTCACCACCGCTCTCCACCATTGCGTAACCCCCCCCCCCCCCCACACTCCTCGCTCCCCCCGCGCTTTCCCTCCCTCCCTCCCTCCCTCCCTCCCTCCCTCCCTCCCTCCCTCCCTCCCTCCCTCCCTCCCTCCCTCCCTCCCTCCCTCCCTCCCTCCCTCCCTCCCTCCCTCCCTCCCTCCCTCCCTCCCTCGCTCCCTCCCTCCCTCCCTCCCTCCCTCCCTCCCTCCCTCCCTCCCTCCCTCCCTCCCTCCCTCCCTCCCTCCCTCCCTCCCTCCCTCCCTCCCTCCCTCCCTCCCTCCCTCCCTCCCTCCCTCCCTCCCTCGCGCCTCATCCCAGCGCGGGCCTCGCAGTGATGCTAGCGGGGGGCATCATGTTCCGCAGCAACATGCACGCCATAACGGACTACGCCATGGATCAGGTCGACCGCGCCACTGCCATTGTCACCAACGTCTCCACGGCCGTCGCTGCGCTCTCCCACACGCACGTCGCCGACGCTGCGCTTCCCTGTGAGTGTTCTCTCTCTCGCCTTCTCTCTCTCTCTCGCTTTCTCTCTCTCTCCTATCTCTCTCTTCTCTCTCGTTCTTGAGAATTGTTCAGATATGCTTTTCGCCCGACATGCTCTTTCCCCCGCTCCGCTCCGATCTGCTCCCTTCTGCTCTGCTGTGGTCGATTCATCCTTACCTGACCTTCCCCTTCCTCGCCCACCCTCCTCCTCCTCCACAGCGAGCGTGGGTGTGTGGCATGGCACGGCACCACAGGTGAACAAGACGGTGGGGGATAAACTCGAGTCGACGCAACGCCCTCCCCTCCCTTTCCTACCCTCCCCACCCTCCCTCCCGCCAGCGAGCGCGACAGCGCGGGTGTCATGCCTAGCAGCCGATGTGAACAGGACACCCGTGGAACTGCAGAGCCTG